TCTTTCTTTGTCACAAAGTCCTAAGACAACACTGTTATTGTGACACAGTGAATTTGTAGAGAAATGAAGGACAGTCCTAGTTCCCAAGGATCTCAAGGGACAGTTCACAACTCAAAAAATATCCTGGCAATGTGTATACATAAGACAATGTGTTTAAAACAATATGAAAAGCACAAAGGAAAAATGTTTTCCAGGAAGCATAGCCTAGCTATTTCAAAGATAATTCTTTCTGAATGTGCTCTTTTAAAAGTTCAGAAATTCTCTCCTCTATTGTTTAAGCTGGAAGTAAACAAAGATAGAAATTTTAAAACTTGTTTTAATCTTCTACTTACCTATATTATGAGATGGAAAGGGAGATTATGCCTGCAAGCTTGCCTGACATCCTTATCACAGAAGGGGATCAAAGGGGAGGGATAAGAGGAATATAGGTGTAACAATGCCAGATACCACCAAGATTACTACAAAAGAACATGTTTTTGTGTGTCTGCACTTCCTAAATTCTGTGGGAAGAATAAAGTACTTCTCATTCTTATCCAAATTGGCTTTCAGTTTGCCTAGTTTCTCCTTTCTTGTTATTGCTGAGCCTGTGAACTGATAATGTTCCACACCACTCAGAAAGTTACTATATAGTGCATTAATCAAGGAACACTTCAGGACGTTTAGTATTGCTTTAAAAAAAAAAAAAAACCACTGAGCCAGGCATTCCAACAAAATTCACTCTTCCAAAAGAAGTAATTTTACAAAATAACTCAGAATGGAAGACAGGATGGAATGCTATTTTTGATAACGAGTAGCAAAAACAAACAAACAAAAAGACTACAGAATAACATACTCACTGCTACTTTGTTTATAGGCTTGTAACTTGCACATGCAAGTACTCTACAAAGTATTGCTCAAGAAGAAACTGTCAAAAATGAATGCTTATGAAAACATTCCTTTTCTAAATAAGATCTCTAACAAGGGCTGCGATGTTTCTAAATTATTTCTTTAGCGAGTACTGACAGGTAGAGCAGAGCAATAATGCTCAGGATGAGAAAAAAAACCTCTTGTTTTATCAACAGTAAAAATTGTTACTAATTATAATGCCTATGAGTTCAGTACTAGAAATTACGGTAGTTATCTGCTAGACAGAACAGTACTTTACAAAACTGATTATTCCTGAAAAAAAGTACTTTTTTCCTAATCCTACAAACCCTAACAATCTAGTAGGTTGGTTTTGTTGTTTTCCTCCCAAAAGACCCTCCGCCAGTAAGTCGAGGTAATCTTCCGCAGTTCAAAGGTTAAGGCAAATTCAGCTCTATGTAGAGTTCTTGCTCCTCATCAACATAGCTTCCCCCTTTTTTTTTCTTTTTTCTCTTCTCATATTATCTTGGCCTGAGAGAGGTTAATGCTCCAGTATAACTGCAAATCCATGAGGGAAGCGATTTTAGGTGCCGAGGAATGAAACTGGGATGGGAAGAACGATCGACAGCAATCAAGAACCAGCTCGCCCTAGAAATCATCCTCTCCATAAAGGAGGAAGAGAGTCTTTGCCCAAAGAACCTGCTGCCTGGAAGCCACAACTTCCATCAATCTGCAAAGAAAAGTTGCAAGAAGAGCTTAGCGCCCGGGTAGCCCGCGCCGGTGCGGAGACCGAAGTCAGCAAAGACACTCATCAGGCCCGGGCGGCCCGCGAGCCCGCGCTGCGGCGTCGGTGGGGCAGACTCCGATTCCGGCAGACTCCGGGTCTGGAGGTGCTACCGCGAAGAGTGGGCGGAGAAACAAGAGCAGAGGAAAAGAGGGACAATGCGGGGCCGGGCCAGGGACTCCGCGCGCTCCGAGGGTCCCCCAGCGCCTCTTCCCGCCTGGGGCCGCCAGCTGCCGGGCCAAGTTTGCTCCTCAGCCCTTCCTTCACGACCCGGGTGGCGAAGCCGTGGCCGCCGGCCTCCCTCCGCCTGGCCGCCGCCGCCTTCCTCCCCGCCGGGCGGCTCCCGCGAGTCGGCGAGGAGGCGGCGCGCGCGAGGGGAGCCGCGCGCGCGAAGGGGCGCCGGGCGCGCGAGGGGCAGGGGGCGCGCGAGGAGAGG